CCCGGCACCCAAACCCAGCCAATGGGAGCTGCAGGGGCGGTGCTTGTGGGTGCAGGCGGCGTGTGGAGGAGGCCTCTTCCGCTCCCCCAAAGGGCGCACAGACACCAGCAGCCTGCCCCTTCCTGAGCACCCGCTGGGCCACCAGCCGGGAGATGCCTGTGTGAGCCCCTCCCAGAAACAGACAGCCCTTTGCACCCCCTTCTGCACCCAACCCCCATGCCACGGGTCAGAACCCCCTCCTGCAGCCAACCCCCATGTACCCAACCCCTATGCCATGGATCAGAACCCCTTCCTGCACCCTTCCTCCTGCTCCCAGCTTCATCCCAGACCCTGCACTTCTTCCATTAATACAGCAGAAATGTCTGGCCCGGGATGATTTACCAAAGTTCATGGTACCCCTGCTGTAAGGCCTTAGCCAGTTGGAAACCTGCCCTCACATCCCAACTTGAAGCAGTTTCTTGATTAGATAGAGCTTGACCCTGGATTTCTTGTGCAGCCAAAACTCCCACAGAAATCCCTGGGATGCAGAACTGGGACCATTTTGCAAACCACAGAATTTACCTCCATTCTCTGGAACCAGGCCTGTGTCCTGAGCTCCCCTGAAAGGGTTTGTAGACCAGGCAGAGAAATGCGGGTACTTACCATGAATGGTCACTTGGGTTCCATTCCCAGGAAATAGCTCATTTAGGGTACTGGTTCCAATCACACATACGTAGGTTCCAGAATCAGAGACATCGGCTTTCTTCACAGTGAGGGAAACAGTCATATTTACTGTATCTGCCAGTGTGATTCGATTTGTTCCATTGGAATTGGGCAGCTTTTCAGTTACATTGTTTCTGGTTTTATGCCATTCACCAAACCACTTCTTTTGATTGCTTATGTTGAGTGCACACTGTGACGTAGTGGGGGTACCTGGCTGGTTTCTATGCTGCTGGCTCTGGGGTAACCCCCACTGGCTGTCGTGGGGACCACGACCCAGCAAAACAGGATGAGTCACTATGCAAACCAGTGGCCAGACACCCCCCATGGAGAGGAACAAAGGAAGGTGGATGCTGCCTTGGCTGGGGGGCAGGGCTGGAAGTTAGTGAGGAGTAGTAAAATACACACCTTGGACTTCAAAAAAGCAGATTTTGACTCCCTCAGAGATCTGATGGAAAGAATCCCCTGGGATGTTAACATGAAGGGGAAAGGAGTCCAGGACAGCTGGCAGTATTTTAAAGAAGCCTTATTGAAGGCACAGAAAGAAACCATCCCGACACGTAGCAAGAGAGGCAAACCTGGTAGGAGACCGGATTGGCTTACAGGGGAAATCCTTGGTGTACTTAAGCACAAAAAGGAAGCTTACAGAAAGTGGAAACTTGGACAAATGACTAGGGAGGAGCTTAAATGTATAGTTCGAGAATGCCGGGGGGTTATCAGGAAGGCGAAAGCGCAAATGGAGTTGCGACTGGCTAAGGATGTGAAGGATAACAAGAAAGGTTTCTACAGGCATGTCAACAAGAAGAAGGTGATCAGAGAGGGTGTGCAGTCCCTAATGGATGAAGGAGGTAACCTAGTGACAGAGGATGTGGGGAAAGCTGAAGTACTCAATGCTTTCTTTGCCTCTGTATTCACGGACAAGGTCGGCTCCTGGACTTCTGTGCTAAGCGACGCAAGATGGGAAGAAGATGGACAGCCCTTGGTGGGTAAAGAACAGGTTAGGAACTATTTAGAAAAACTAAACGTACACAAATCCATGGGTCCAGACTTAATGCACCCAAGGGTACTGAAGGAGTTGGCAAATGTCATTGAGGAGCCTTTGGCCATTATCTTTGAAAAGTCGTGGAGATCGGGCGAAATCCCGGATGATTGGAAAAAGGCAAATGTAGTGCCCATCTTCAAAAAAGGGAAGAAGGATGATCCAGGGAACTATAGGCCGGTCAGTCTTACCTCGGTTCCTGGAAAAATCATGGAAGGGATGCTTAAGGAATCCATTTTGAGGCACTTGGAAGAGAGGAAAGTGATTAGGAATAGTCAGCATGGATTCACAAAGGGCAAGTTGTGCCTGACCAATCTGATTAGCTTCTATGATGAGGTAACTGGCTCTGTGGACGTGGGAAAGTCAGTGGATGTGATATACCTTGACCTTAGCACAACTAAGAAGTAGCACAGCTACTTCTTCAGATGACGTGTGCCCACGAAAGCTCATGATCCCATCAACATGTTTTGTTAGTCTTTAAAGTGCTGCCAGAGCATTTGTTGTTTGTTGAGTAAGGACCCAATTTGTTGATGAAGTGAAGGATGCCAAGTACTATTCCATAATAGTCAATTCAACACCAGATGTGAGTCATGTAGACCAATTAACATTAATTTTAAGATATGTGACCGGCAATGGTAAAGTTGTAGAGAGATTTCTTTGCTTTGTCCCACTAAAATCCCACACGTCTGAATGTCTAGAGACAATGGTTTTGGAACTCATTGAAAATTTAGGTTTGGACATCAAAAACTGTTGTGCACAGAGCTTTGATAATTCTGCAAATATGTCAGGAAAATATTCAGGTCTACAGGCAAGACTGAACCATTCAAATCCCTCTGCTTTATTTATACTGTGAATAAATTTAAGCCATTCCTTAAATTTAATCTGCAATGCTGCAGCCACATCTTGCGAGGGAGCTACACTTTTTTTTTTTACTTCGTTCAAAACACGCAAGCCTTTTTTTCAGTTTCCACACTTTGGTGGAATGTGCCACAGTCACTCTTGGCGCAGGCAAATGGAAAACATTTGACAGACAAAAGAATTTGTGACACCAGGTGATCTGCTTGTGCAGATGTAGTTTTAACTTTGAAAATGAACTATGATATTATAAAGAGAACTTTATTAGGCATAGCCACATCAAATTCTAAAAAAACACATGCAAAAACTGATGCAAAATCCTTACCAGAAAAGTTTGAAAAGTATGATATTGCTATTTTTACTATTTTGTGGAACCGTTTACTTCAAAGCATTGATGCTATCTGCAAATCAATGTAAAAAGTTGCTACCAATTTATTGAATGTTACACAATTGTTAGCCTCAGTTACAAGTTTTGTCATGAAATTTTAGAATGACTATAGGTCAGTGGAAGTAGAGGCACGAACATTAACAGAAAACCCCAGCCCTGGCTGTTGCCAGTGCTACCTGGCAGAAGGGTTACACTAGAAACAATGAAATCAATTTAGAAGGGAAAGAAAAGGTCATCGTTGAGACTATCAGAGTTATTTGTGACACAGTAATAGTGCAACCGCAGAGTAGAGGTGAATCTCTAAAGAAAACTGATGATTTATTTTGCATGTATGGTGTGAAGATGCTAAAAACCACTACAGTGAGAAAATATGCAAATTCTACCAAGAGGAGGACATAGACACAAAACTTTTTGAAGATGTAGTGAAACATTTCATTCATTTTATAGCAAACTGTGAGGTCTGTGCTTCAAGATCACCAGGTCATTTCTATAGACTTGTACGTGGCAGTTTGCAGGCAACCCTTCCAAATGTAGAAACCATTCTGAAAATATTTTTAACAATACTTGTCACAAATGCTTGTAGTGAACGTTCTTTTTCTGTACTGCAACTAGTTAAAAATTATTTGTGAAATACGAGTCAGAAACATTTGACAAGTTCAGCAATATTGACAGGTGAAAGTGCCTTTAGAGAATATTACTCACAATGACCTAATAGATGATTTTGTAAAGAAAAAGTGTAGAAAGACAGCTATCTGGATAAATATATTTTTTAAATTGAATACGTTTTATAAGAGGAAGTTAACATTTATGTTTCCATTCATGCATCTCTATACATTTTATTTTCATACATTTTTTTCACATTAGCTTAATGCAAATACAAACTTTCATCTAGATCAGAATTTCTCAAGCTGTGCTCTGACAACTGCATTCAGGTGGATTGAGGAAAATTTATTATAATTTTTTTTGTAAAGCACTCTTATCCAAAGCACTTTACAATAAAACTTTAAAAATGAGTGGTCCTGTAGCACTTCAGTAGGTTGTACCCACGAAAGCTCATGATAGTAATATCCAGGGCTCGACAAATTATGGAAAACCCTACTCGCCAGACAAAAAGGGACTTGCCACCCTCCCCTCGGCAAAAGTGTTTTTTTAATGGCATAAATTTCTATTAAGAATAAGAACAGTAATTACTAACAAGTTATTAATAAATATCACCCAAGTTATTAATAAATATGGGTATGTCTACACTACAGCACTAATTCGAACTAACTTAGTTCGAATTAGTTAATTCGAACTAAGCTAATTCGAACTAACGCATCCAGACTAAAAAACTAGTTCGAATTAGCGTTTTGCTAATTCGAACTAGCATGTCCACAAAATATCCCCCAAGTTATTAATAAATATGGGTATGTCTACACTACAGCACTAATTCGAACTAACTTAGTTCGAATTAGTTAATTCGAACTAAGCTAATTCGAACTAACGCATCCAGACTAAAAAACTAGTTCGAATTAGCGTTTTCCTAATTCGAACTAGCATGTCCACACACAGTGGGCCCTGAACCGGGATTAAGGATGGCCGGAAGCAGTGCCGGCAGGGCATCAGATGAGGACTTAGAGCGTGGAGCTGCTGGCTCAGGCTAGCCAAGGGCTGCGCTTAAAGGGACCCGACCCCCACCCCGGACACACAGTTCTAAGGGGTGCCCCGCTTGCAAAGAAGTTCTGGCTTGGAGTGCCCTGAGTGCCCACACTGGGCACATCACACCACTCGGCCATCAGCCCGGCTGCACTTGCCGCAGGCTGCCATCTGGGGAGAGGGAGTAATTGGGGGGCTGCAGGAGAGCTTCCACCCCCAGAAGCCCGCAGAGCCAGCCCAGTCCTCCCCATCGGGGGCTCGTACCCCATTCCTCCCTCACCTCCTTCCACTTACCCTTTCCTAGCCCCCCTTCTTATTGATGTACAAAATAAAGATAACGTTTCTTCCAACATTGACTCTGTCTTTATTGAACAAAACTGGGGGAGACTGGGAAAAGGAGGTGGGAGAGGGGAAGAGAAAGGCTGGGAGAGGGGAGGGCAACTAACATGATCAGGGGTTGGGAACAGGTCCCAGATGAAGAGAGGCTACAGAGACTGGGACTGTTCAGCTTAGAAAAGAGGAGACGGAGGGGGGACAGGATAGAGGTCTCTAAAAGCAGGGGTTGGGTGGAGAGGGTGCATTCAGAAAAGTTCTTCCTGAGATCCCATAAAGAAGGACTAGAGGACACCAAAGGAAAGGAATGGGTAGCAGGCTTGAAACTAGTAAGAGAAAGTTGTTGTTCTTGACAAAGCAAATAGTTAACCTGTGGAACTCCTTGCTGCAGGAGGCTGTGAAGGCTACAACTAGAACAGAGTTTAAAGGGAAGTGAGATAAAGTGATGGAGGTTGGGTCCATGGAGTCCTATTAGCCAGAGGGTAGGAGTGGTGTCCCTGCCCAAAGTTTGTGGAAGGCTGGAGAGGGATGGCACGAGACAAATGGCTTGGTCATTGTCTTCGGTCCATCCCCTCCAGGGTCCCTAGGGTTGGCCGCTGTCGGCAGACAGGCTACTGGGCTAGATGGACCTTTGGTCTGACCCAGGACGGCCATTGTAAGCTCAGGGCTCAGTGTCGGGGGTCTCAGTGGACCCCCTTGATTTTCATGCACACCTGGTCCTGGGTGGCCAGGCTGGCAGCTCTCCTGCCCTAGACGGCCACTTTCCTGTGCCTAGTGCGGAG